TTTTGCTTGGAGGTTCTAGAACAAAGCTCCAATTTGCCCTTTTCCCTTGAAACCACCACTCCCAGGGGCCAGCACAGGGCAGCTGGACGAGCTTCTCTCCCCCTCCAAACAGGTGGTTGCCAAGAGGGGCAAGGATTACATCCTGAAGCACGTCCCCAACATGCACAAGGACCAGTTTGCCCTGACAGCCTCAGAGGCCCATCTCAAGTACATCAAGGAGGCTGTCAGGCTGGACGACGTGGCCGTGCACTACTACAGGTTGTACAAGGTGAGCCCTGGCCCTGTGCCTGTTGGGACCTGAATTTTGGGAATGCTCTCCCTGAGAAATAAATGCTGGTTTTTAGTCTTCCGGGAATAAAGCTGTTTGTTTGCTGGGAGAGCATGAAGTGATTTAATTAATTTAATTAATTAATGGTTAAAAAACCATTTAATCAGAATGGTTTGGGTTGGGAGGGAGCTTCAAGCTCATCCAGTGCCACCCCTGCCATAGCAGGGACACCTTCCACTGTCTCAATGTGCTCCAACCTGGCTTTGGGCACTGCCAGGGATCCAGGGGCAGCCACAGCTGCTCTGGGCACCCTGTGCCAGGGCCCCACCACCTTTAAGGAACAATTTCTTCCTCACATCTAATCTAAATCTCTTCTAGTTCAAAAGTATTCCCCCTGATCCTCTCACTGACTGTGTCCAAAATGACTTTCCATTTTCAATTTGGCACATATAATCATAGAATGGTGACTGGGGTGATTGTGGAAGGATCCCTGGGCTGAGGTGGGGTGGATTTAACCAATTCATGCTGCAAATTGTGTATTCAAAAGCATTTTTCCCCACCTTAGGACAAAAGGGAAGTAGAGGCCTCCCTGACTCTGGGGCTGACAACACGGGGCATCCAGATTTTCCAGGTAGGTGATGAAGGTGATGGCTCAGCCCAGCTCCATGCCCCTGCCAGAATCCTCAGCCATGGCTCCCTCTCCTCTTTTTGCAGAACCTGGATGAGGAAAAGCAGCTGCTCTACGACTTCCCGTGGACAAACGTGGGGAAACTGGTGTTTGTGGTGAGTGCCACCATCTCCACCTGGAGCACTGCTTCCAGCTCCGGGGTCCTCAGCACAGGAAGGTCAGGTGTGAC